ACAGGAGTAATTGCGGCCTGAGGAAGAAAGGCAGGATGGAGATAGGACAAAAAAGCTGATAGTGTAATGCATAGGCAAGATGCCAGCTTACTCCCCTTTCAGCTGATCATTTTATTTCTATGGCCATACATCTGTTTCAGGAAGCGCATCTTAGCAGTATATATACCATTTTGTCATAAGAACCAGGTGAAGGTGTGTGATTAGAATAAATTCATTCTCAACACAGGAAGGGCAGTTCTCTAGATATAAGCCCAGTGGTATTTTTGGCAAGTGGTATCATCATCATGTGAAAGACAGATAACTTCCTTTAGCACTTTTAAAAGTACACTTATATTTTTGTAGGTGTTTAAAGTATTGAATATTCTAGCATGCATTTATTTTCCTTTTTGTTTTCTTGCATCTATGATCCTATTACAATAAATTTGTTGCTGCTGTTTGTGTTGCGCTGTCGTCATTCTTTGATTTCTATGGTTCAGTATCTTCTGCTTTACACATTTGCCAGATGCCATTACACATTTCTCTTTGTATTGTTACATGACTGTAGTAAGTGCATACTGAGTAAAAACATTTCAAAATTTATTTTTTCAAAAGCATCAAATTACACATTTTGTAGTAATCACTGCAGTGCATAATGGTAAAGTTGCTGTCCTTCAATAAATGAACAGTTCTGGAAGCACTTACTGATGTTTTAAACTCAATATTTCTTAATTTCTTACAGTCACTTTTATTCAACGAAAAGAAAATAGGGACAGAGGACTCTTAAAAGTTGAGAAAATGTGATTTTGTTAACCTAGAGTGGATTGTGCAGTCTTCCTCTCTACAATAGTCTGTTGATCCCTGTGAGAATCTCCAGGTTTTTGTTTGAATATAATTACAAACCAAAGAACAAGCAAAGCAAACAAACAAACAAACAAACAAAAAAACACCAAAACCCAAAACAAACCATAGGGGAACTCAAACTGAGGCAGTATGAATATGTTGGTTTGAAAACATTAGTGCAACCTGTCCCTGATAAGACTACAGGGATAGAGGCCGGGTGCGGTGGCTCACGCCTGTAATCCCAGCACTTTGGGAGGCCGAGGAAGGCGGATCACAAGGTCAGGAGATAGAGACCATCCTGGCTAACACGGTGAAACCCCGTCTCTACTAAAAATACAACAAATTTAGCCAGGTGTGGTGGCGGGCGCCTATAGTCCCAGATACTCAGGAGGCTGAGGCAGGAGAAAGGCATGAACCCGGGAGGCAGAGCTCACAATGAGGTGAGATTGCACCACTGCACTCCAGCACTCCAGCCTGGGGGACAGAGCAAGACTCTGTCTCAAAAAAAAAAAAAAAAAAGGTCTCTTTGCTCCTGTTGAACAAAACATAAGTTCAAATTGCTTCCCAGTAATTTAACTCTATTCTAAAAAAAAAAAAAAAAAAAAAAAGACTACAGAGATAGCCCCCACCTTACTAAAACTTTATTCCACTTAGAGTTGCATAGTAGTAAGTTTTGTTTTCTATTGCATAGTAATTGCGCAGTAATATATTTACTACTCTCTTCTCTGCCAGATTTTGAAGAATTATTGGCTAGAAAATTATTCAGGAAACTCTGTGAATCCTGGGATAATGATTTTGGTGGGATGTAGTACGTTGTCTAATACTTGCGGTCAGTTAGCCAGTTTCCCTGTGAACCTTATTAGAACTCACATGCAGGCTTCAGGTGAGTTTCTTTTCTTTAATGAATGAATAATAAGTTTAAAATTATGTTTTAAATGAGTATAAATTAATGACTTCAAAAATAAAACTGTAGAATTGATAAGCAAGAATCCCAAATTTATTATTTTACTGACTTTAGTCAGCTTTAGCTTTTTGTGCTTTTTAGATTTTATTTCCTCTCAAAGTATTGTTTGGAACTCTCCACATTTTCTTCAGTTACTAATGATCTCTTTAAGGAGTTTACAATTCGAAAGTACCATGCAGAACAATAGAAAAGATTATGCTTTTTTTCAAATAAACAGTTATTCCATATGATCATGTAATTTTACCTTAGTTCCACTATTATCATCATATTCTGCAACTGGAACTTAATACATTTGTGGAATGGAACTCAATTTTTTTTTTCCAATTTACTTAAGGAAGAGATATTAAGAAAAGGGAGGATATCTGTATTGTTTGTCTCAGTAAAATGTTAGGAATTTAGTTTTTAAGAAAATATCTTTATCACTTTTCAAGAAGGAAAAAAAACCCCACACAATCCTATTGTTATCTTCTTGACTAAACTGTTTATAGTTCATGTGTTAAGTGATATTCTTTAACATTCTCTTTCTCCTTGTCTTTTTAGTTAGATTTTTGGTTTTGATTTATATTCTCCAGGTGGAATATCTCTCCATCCATCCCATCGCCCATCCTTTCCTCTCTCTATTTGTGTCAGATCCAATTCCAAATACTCCTTTGAGGTCCCTTATGAAAGACTTTCAAGTGTTGTTTAATAGAATTTTCTGTGATGATGGAAATATTTTATATTTGTGCTATTCAGTATGATAGTCACTATTCCCAAGTGAATACTTGGGATTGTTGCCAGCGCAACTGAGGCAATGAATTTGTAGTTTTATTTAATTTTAATTAATTTAAATATAAATAGCCACATATATCCATTGGGTACCATATTGAACAGCACAAGACATTCTACAGGTAGGGAGAGAGGTGTATTCTGAAGTAATTTCAATCTCTGTAAATTCTCATTTATCATTGGATTTTCTTAATTTATAAATATTAAATATTGAATTATGCTTTTTTTTTTTTTTTCCAATTTATAGCCCTAGTGGAAAAAGGAAAAACAACTTCTATGATTCGGCTCATTCAAGAAATATATACCAAAGAAGGAAAACTGGGATTTTACAGGGGTTTCACCCCAAACATCATAAAGGTGCTTCCTGCAGTAGGCATTGGCTGTGTGGCCTATGAAAAAGTGAAGTCACTTTTTGGATTAACCTAGAAGTGATATATCAAATTGTTGTCATTGCCGTAATCACTTAATTGTAAGATAATACCTGGATTATAAAGAGATGTTATCTTGTCCTAAGAGGAAAGAAATGTCAGATAATTGTTAAAATATTTTTTCATTATTACAAAATATATAAATTAAATAATAATTTTTATAAAGTTCTTTAATAATTTAAAATCTTTAATAGCCAAAAAATACTATTTACATTTTCTACTACTCTCCCTTGAATCCCAACTTAAAATTTGTTCTTGATTTGATTTGAATACACCATAGAGTAACATAAAACATTTGGTCAGTAATAGGAGTTTATCTTTGAAAACGTTTTTATATTTGAAAACTTATTTTAAAAAAGCTGAGCTTGAAAAAGCTTTATACACTAAAAGAAAAATCAGTGCATTTAAAATTGATGTTATAGCAAATAATTCGGAGTCTGTTTCTTTTACTTAAGCAAAATGGAAAATTAGTTTCTAATTCTTTCTATCACATTTTAGATGGAATAATGATAACATCTTTCTTACATCTCTGGGCGTTTTTATTTGTAAATGTGAATACTGTTGGTTCATTTTGATTCTTGATATTGTCAGCTTATATAAGGAAGTTGGCATTGATAACAAATCCAACACTGGACAAATTTTATTTATCTTCTGGTTGAAAACATTCGAGTGGAAGAATTTTATATATTAAAACCATTATCTCATAGTTGTTGAAGCAATTCTTACTTCAACTTAAGAGTTGATTAAGTCAACCCTTTGATACCCTAAATATCTTCTCTTCACTTTTATTTAAAAAAATTATATTCTTTCCTGGGATTAAATAATTGTGTGGAGAGATGGTGGTAATGGGTTGATTGGACACTAACAGGCCTCAAATGAAGGACGCCTGGCTCAACAGACTGAAGTCCAGGCTTTGATTTTTAGCCTTGATGGTCCAAAAGTTTGACCTTATTAATTTCCTTAAAATGATCAGTTTTTTGGTGCTAGATTAACAAAAATTGCTCACAGGATTGAGATATAGATCACAAAGCAAACCCATTAAAATTCACAGTGGTGCTTAATACTTTCCATTAACCAGAGAACTTTCGTCCCTTCTCCAAGGCACACTGTTTCCTAGTGTCAAACTACCTTGGAAACCTAATAGTTACTAGGAAGAGTGATGTGGAATTAGAACAAAGAGAAGATACTTTTGAGGAATATTTTACTTAGGCCCATCCCAGTTAAGGTGGGAAGAGTTGGGAAACTTGCATACAAGGGGAGAGGAGCTGAGAACTAAAGTAGGAGAGTAGAAAGAATTGTGAAACTTGAGCTAAATTAAGCCACAGATCAACAGAAGAGAGAAAGGCAAATCTCATGTGAACCCTGGGAATAGGTGTGTAAGAAATTTGACTAATGGCAGTAGTTGTACAGATAGACTTTTATAAAGCATTCCAAGTTTATGAAACAACTTGAACAGTAACATGAAAATGGAGTTCATGGAACATCGGGAAGATTGCAAGTAACCTGGTCATTTGAAAATGTATAGTATATAGGAAGATATAGTGAGCTACAAGGCTACTGCCTTGTAGTAGGTTGGCAGGTTGGCAACAGGGGCTTTCTATTATATATGCTAATAACATTCTCTAGTGTAAAAAGATAATTTTGGCAATAGAATGAAACAATTGAAAGAAGAGATAGGGCTAAGTGTGGTGGCTCACAACTGTAGACCAAATGCTTTAAGAGGCTTAGATGGGAGGATCACATGAGGCTAGGAGTTCATGACCAGCCTGGCCAACAAAGTGAGACTCTGCCTCTGCAAAAGAAATATAAAAAATTAGCATGGTGGCACACGTGTGGAGTCCCAGCTACCTGGGAGGCTGAGGCAGAAGAATCACTTGAGCCCAATAGTTAGAGGCTGTAGCAAGCTATGACTGTGTCACTGCACTCCAGCCTGGGCAGCAGAGCAAGAATCCATCTAGTTAAAAAAAAAAAAAAAAAAAGGGAGATAGTAGAGCCAAGGAGATCAATTCAGACATTATTACCATAGGTCTAGTTAGAATATGCTGGCTTCTAAGTAAAGACTTCTCTTTAGAGTAGGTAGAAGTCTAGACTTTTTGATTATTGTATCCGAGGTCAAAGTCTAATCTGTCTTTTTTAAAATTAGAAAATTAAAATTTATTTTATTAAGTGCCTAATATGTGCCAGGTACCCTTTCAAAGCACTTTTAAAGGTTCTCTTGCTTAATTTTATCAACTCTACTAGAAGGTTGAGATTATTATCCTGATTTTCAGATGAAGAAACTGAGTTCAGAGAGGTAAGTGCCCTAAGCAAATCTTGTAATATTTCCCGCTTTATGAAGGATTGTGCTCATTTCTTACCTTCAGGGCCTTCATTTTGTATAAGAGCCTGCTGTCAGCCATAATCTTGGCTGTGACTTGGATATTTTGTAAAAAACTTAAAAAATGATGATTTAGCCCATGTCCTCAGTGTGCAGCCTCTCAGTACTCTTTTAGTCCAAGCCTGACTGATACTCTTCTTGCTCTTAAATACTGAGAATGCTTGAGAGATAACATTTATGTAAAAATGGTTATCACAATGTAACATGAACACTGAGACTTGAATCTAGAATGAATCATGAAGAAATACCAGCAGTTCTTTCTAAGCATCAGAGAAGAAAATAACTGGATGATATTTTAAGGACTGCGGTGTCAGGAGTTGAGTTTAACACAGAGGCACATTTCTGCATGGTTTCTCAGATAGCACAGTTTAAAGATCAGCCTCCCCAGTTACCTTGCAGGCCTGTGATACAAATTAGTAAAATTCTGTCTCATGGCCCCTGGGTTACTCTGTTTCACTCAGGCCCATCCCAATTAAGGTGGGAAGAGTTATGAACCTTGTATACAAGGGAAGAGGACCTGAGACCTAAAGTAGGAGAGTGGAAAGAATTGTGGAACTTGAGCTACATTAACCCAGAAACCGCCAGAAGAGCATAGTAGAATGTTATAGGATATGATTAAGATTTTTGGCTGGGAATTAAATATAAAGAAGACCATAGCAGATGTCATCTGGGAGGTGGTTAGGATTAAGTGCCTATTGAAATTTTTGACTCCAAGAAATCTCTGCATCTCATCCAGAAAGATAAAAAACTCTCTGGACAAGTACAGAATCCTTTCAGGAATTTATTTGCAGTCCACAGAAGCAAAACAGTAAGCCCTCAGATCTCTAGAGTGCTCTAGTAGAGTGCCCACTTGCCTAGTTTCAGGCAGAACCTGTGTTTCTGAAGGCACTGCTGAATGTTTTGATACTCCCACTCTGCTCAGACTGCATATTTAAAAGTTAGTTTATTAACCCATTTATTTTAGAGAAAGCAACTGAAAAAGTCATACCATATTAGTCATAACATGCTAATGGAGGGTTATAAACCTTTGCAGAACTCAAAAAGCAACCATGAGTTCTTGTCATAGTCTTTTTTTTTTTTTCTTTTTTGCTGTTATAGCAGAATACCACAGACTGTGCTATTTATTTATTTATTTATTTATTTATTTACTTATTTTTGAGATGGAGTCTCGCTCTGCCACCCAGGCTGGAGTGCAGTGGTATGATCTTGGCTCACTGTAACCTCCACCTCCCAGGTTCAAGAGATTCTCCTGTCTCAGCCTCCCCAGTAGCTGGGACTACAGGTGCATGCCACCACGCCTGGCTAATTTTTGTATTTTTAGTAGAGACGGGGTTTCACCATATTGGCCAGGCTTGTCTCAAACTCCAGACCTTGTGATTTGCCCACCTTGGCCTCCCAAAGTGTTGGGATTACAGGCATGAGCCCCCACGCCCGGCCTTGTAATTTGTAAGAACAGAAATTTACTTGGCTTATGATTCTGAAGGCTGGGAAGTCCAAGGCTGAGGGACTGTCTCTGGTGAGGGTCATCTTGCTATGTTATAACATGGCAAAGGCATCACACTGGTGGGTGAGAGAGAGGGAAAGAAGCAAGCCAAACACCCTCTTTTATAAGGACCTCTCTCCTGTGATAATGGCATTAATCCATTTATGAGGGCAGAGCCTATCTCTCACCTTATATAAAAATAAACTCAAAATGGACAAAGACTTTAAGATGTGAAATGATAAAAATTATGGAAGACAACCTAGGAAAAAAACTTCTGGACATTGCTGTAGGCAAAAAATTCATGACTAAGACCCCAAAAGCAAATGCAATTAAAACAAAAATAAGTAAATGGGACCTAAATAAATAAATGGAACCTAATTAAACTAGAAAACTTCTGTGCAGCAAAGGGAATAATCAGCAGAGTAAACACACAACCTACAGAATGGGAGAAAATATTTGCAGATTATGCATCTGACAAAGGACTAATATCTAGCATCTACAAGGAACTCAAATCATCGAGAAAAAACAAATAATCCCATCAAAAAATGGGCAAATTATATGAATAGACATTTCTCAAAAGAAGATATACAAATAGCTAACAAACATATTAAAAATGTTCCAGATCACTAATTATCAGGGAAATGCAAATTAAAACCTCAATGAGATACCACCTTACTCCTGCAAGAATGGGCTTTATAAAAAGTCAAAAGACAATAGATGTTGGCATGGATGTGGTAAAAAGGGAACGCTTAGACACTGCTGGTGGGAATGTAAAGTAGTGCAACCTCAGTGGAAAACAGTATGGAGATTTCTTAAAGAGCTAAAAGGAGATCTATCATTTCATCCAGCAACCCCACTACTGGGTATCCACCCAAAGGAAAAGAAGTCCATTTATCAAAAAGACACCTGCATACGAATGTTCATGGCAGCACAATTCACAAAGTATGGAACCAACCTGAGTGCCCATCAACCAATGAATGGATAAAGAAAATATGGTATACATACACCATGGAATACTACTCAGCCATAAAATAAGAATGAAATAATGTCCTTTGCAAGAACTTGGATGGAGCTGGAGGCTATTATTCTAAGTGAAGTAACTCAGGAACTCGCAGAACCACAAGATAAGGGGTTGATAAATGAAGGCCTGGGGAGGTAGACAGTGGGAGGGAACAGTCCTGCTCCTGATGTGGAAAACCAAATACTGTATTTTCTCACTTATAAATGGGAGCTAAGCTATGGGTACACAAAGGCATACAGAGTGATATAATGGACTTTGGAGACTCAGATGGGGAAGGATGGGAGGGGTTGAGAGATAACAAACTACATATGGGGCACCATGTACATTTCTCAGGTGGTGGGTGCACAAAAATCTCAGACTTCACCACTATACAGTTCATCCATGTAATCAGAAATTACTTGTACCCCAAAAGCTATTGAAATAAAAAATTATTAATAAAAATATATGCAGAAATGTTAGGTTACAATTTTCATATATCTGTAGCAGGTATTTTTGTGCAGGTAAGTTTTCAATGATAAAAAAGTTGGTGCTATTGTGTTTTATTTCTCATAATACCTTAATTTAAATGCTGAGCATATTCCTTTTTGTTAATCATGGAAGAATGAAATGGAAATTTCTGAATCAGAATTAAAAGTTTCAGTGGAGTAAGTGGGAGAAGGCAGGGTAGTTTTCCAAGCTTCATAGCTCAGGTTAACAGCTTAAAACAGCTGCCTTTGTATTGCCATATCTTGTCTGGTTCTCAGAACTCAGTCTCGCTTAGGAGCTGTGGGCTTCCACGGGTTTTTTTATGGGTTACTATGACTAAGAAACACAATAATCACCTTCCAAGATGATACACTCACTTTTAGAAGTATTAGATTGT